TGGTTTTTTGGGAGGGTTTTTTTTTTTTTTTTGGCTTTGGAGATAGACTTTTACAGTTCAAAATACTAACTAATACTATCTAATACTATCATGGATAATATTTTCTTTACATTATGAAATATTTCTGTAGAATCAAAATATTTTTTGTGAAAGTTCTCTTCTATATATGGTATCTAATATTTAATCATACCAAGAATTGATTCAACATGCACATTTGTTGCCTTTGGCGTGCAGTATCAACTGGTGACTTGGATGTGTCAGTAACTTATCACAATGAAGCCACAACTGTTTGAACATAATACACTGAAACATTTTATGATTTGCTTGGTTTTACCTTATTATGTAAAAACATCGTAGTTATTCAAAGAATGCATTTAACAATCCTGAGATGTTTATGATGTTCAGCTTCCTATATTCTGGAATGGGTTAATAACAAAGCTGAGCTGGGTTCCCAGCACTATTTAAGAAACAGAATACCCAGTGATAAAATTAGATATACTAACTTAATTTAAGATAGCTTTCTATGTATCAAGAGAATAAGAAACATCTCTTCTATATGTCCCATGCATTTTTCCTTTTCTTGACATGCACATGTAAAGCATACAGGGTACAGCATCTTACCATTATAATTGAAAATACATGTCAGATCAACAGCCACATTCTACACTATTCTATACAGATGGCCTTCTGCCAAAAATCCACCCTTGACCTATGTACCAAGTAACACAAAATTGATTAACTGGCTGATTTGATTAAATGTCTTCAAGTAGCTGTTGATTACTAGCAACCACATAAATTTTCTGATTATCTGGTCCTTCAGATATTCCAATTGTGCACCAATTAGCACTGCGACTGAATCTATTCACTGTGCTGTTAGCTGTCCTCTTATCTTTCCTTCCCTCCTTCCAGGATTAGATCCACCCTATTATTTTACACATCCCATTGCTACATGGTTTCTTGTAATCAATAGGGAATAGCTCCAGAATCACTCATAACGATAGTCCCAACCACAAGCTTTCTTAAAAGAGGCCAAGTCTCAATGATATATAAGCATATATCTATAAAGATAAGATAAATATGGATACTTTTTGTACAGTATCAGTACAAGATAGAAAAGAGTCAAACAGGTTAGAAATTAGTAGTTCAGAAAGAAATTCTGAATCTCAATAAGTACGTACAAGAAGCAGAGCTACAATAAAGTCATCAGCGGTTGTAAACTTACAGCACCAAAGTAAGGAGCTTGATGTACAACTCCTGTACCTTCTTCTTCCTTCACATAGTTGTCAGTCACTACAGAAAAAGCACCATTTTCTCTGCACTGGAAGAAAAATAGAGTTTTCAAAATGCAGAAAATAACAATATGGAAAAGATGTGAAAACATCACAGAATGTTAAGATACTGATTTCTTGCTGCAAATGTAATTAGTCTTTTTTCCAATATGGATTCTTTTAGATATTTAGCTATGTCATTAAAAATAGCAAATGATTAACCATTAAAGTATTTTACCTTTATAAAGTAATTGAAAAGAGGCTTGTATTTCTTTCCTTTTAGTGTAACACCAGGAAACCTGAAATACAGTATGTCAAATTAGTTGCTGTTTACAATTTTAAGTCTTTTCATTATTTATAAAAGCTTTTCTGCAAAAAGAGAACACCAAAACCATCAGATAATAAAAATTATAATAAAATAGTCATTTATATATGCACATACAGTATATACATGTATATATCTTGATACATTTCAATTCAATAACATTAATGTCTAATTATTGAAGCAGCAACACATGGAATAGTTATTGTCTCATAAAATTCTAGAAAAGTTTCTGAAAGCTCACAGAAAAAAATAAACTATATAGTTTCTTAATAAAAGCAGGTACATGCTTTTAAGTACAATAACTGCTCTTTAGTTCAGATTTAGATATTTGTGAAATCCAAACAATGAAATATGAACTCAGAACTTGTAGCAGACAACTTAATTGTGTTTTCTTTTTTAACATTTAGTTATTCAGTTCTTAAATTGATATGTTCTCAGTATAACTTCCCGAAACATTGAGTAGTTAACAAGTGCTAAAAACATTAAAACAAGAAAACAACACAAAATTAAAAAAAAGAACAAAGATGACAGAGAGAGGAAACCCAGAGGTCTGTTTCATGCAGAGGGGTTTTTATTCTTTTTTTCCTTTTTTTTTAAATTAGACTACATCCCAATTTTGTCTTATAAATACCAGAGAAAGCTATTATCAGGAAAAGCAAATGAACATTATGAATCATATCCATGCTGGAAGAAACTATCCCACAAAGTTGATAGTTAAATGAAACTTACAGCTGTTGCAAAATATTGTGTGGTGTGGTGTGTGTGTGTGTGTGTGTGTGTGTGTGTGTGTGTGTGTGTGTGTGTGTGTGTG